AGGAGGGGTGTCTCTGTGCCCTGTACCTGCCCACCCCCGTTCCGGATGCAGTTTTCTGTGACCTCAGTTCTTTGGTGGCCCCAGGAGCACTGTTGGTACCACTGTGTCCCGCGTGTCTGTGAGGGAGGAGAGTCAGCTGCCAGGCTTCTCCTGTGGGCCCAGAAGACATCTGTGGCTTTGCTTTTCACATCCTGGTCTTTGCAGAATACCACACAGAGCTCACTCTTCAGGGTGGGGCGGGGCTGGTGCCTGCTGTCCTAACATACAACACAACCTGGGTGTGATCCTGCCCTGCACGCTGCTGTCCCCAGCCCTCGGTGCACAGCAGGTGAGGGCGTGGGCCTCAGGCTTTCTTTGCCATAAACTGCCTTGTGCTTCCTCCTGCCATGGTCCCTGTGGCATAGCCAGGACAGGAGACCTACTCAGCCCACCATGGAGATGGTGTCCCCTGGGGTGGGGGGATTCTAGGTCACCTGGAGCTGGGGAAGAGAAAGGAGCAGCAGCCAGGAGCCAGGGCTGCATAGGGTGGGTGCAGACACAGGGCTGGCAGAGCAGGGCCTCCTGCAGACATGGGGTCTTTCCAAGAACCCTGGGTGCATGCCTCAGGAGCCCTCTTGCTATACTATGCATACCCTTCAGCTATCTGTCAGTGCTAGGGACCTGTGTCCTGGTTGTCTCCATTTGTTCCTCCTGTCCTGCTGTGAGGATGGACAGACACCTGCCATGTCACTATGGGGGCAGGGAGGGCCCTGGAAGAGAGGCAGAGAGGCAGAGACTGGGGTATCATTTCTCAGAGATGGGAAGGACTTGCTGGTGCCAGAGGGAAGGCGTGAAACTACTGTCCTGGGATGCCCAAGGGTCCCAAGTGTGGCAGGGATGGGTGTCGGTCCCCAGGGGGGCATGGGGCTGTGAAGTCCTGCGTGGTCATGGCTCCGGGTGAATGTCACACTGCTCCCATGTCTTGTGTTGATTGCCAGCACAGGGGAAGAGCTCCAAGGCCCAGAGAGGTAAGGGGTGGCTGTACCTCATGGCCACTGCGGGGTGGCCCGCAGCACAGACAGCCACGCTAGAAGCTCCTGAGAAGTCCTGCAGTGCCAGGGGAAGGACAGAAGTGCTGTGTCACCAAGGATCCCCTGATTCTTTGCCCAGAAAACCCCTTTGATACCTAACGTCTGTTGCATCCAGAGGAGCGGTGGCAGCGGAATGTAATTTGGGGACTATTTCCTTGCTGCAGGCAGTGGCAGATTCCGCAGGCAGAATTGGGGGCCCGCATTGTTATGGCTGAATCACATTTCCCTAAAGCTGTATGTGAAACCCTGGCGCCCAGTTCTTCAGAACACGAGCCTATGTTAGGAAAAGCGCAGTTGCAGGTGCAATTAGTCAAGTTAGGATGAGGCCATACTGATGTCATCAAAAAAGGGGGAACCGAGCAGAGACTACACAGAGGCCCCCACGTGTGACCGTAATGGCAGAGTGCGGCACTGACCACCTGCCAAGATGGGGGAAGCGCAGTTCTCCCCCCAGTACTGGAGATTGAACCTTCATGCCTTCAGGGCCTTCACAGGGAGCTTCTTTATTTTGTAATTTGAGACAGGGTCTTGTGAGTGGTTAAGTTCCTCAGCCTCCTGGAGTGCTGGGATGCCAGGTGCTGCCACACCAGCTAGAAGTTTGTTCTCAGAGGGATGAAGTGCCACCCACCATGCCCAGCTCTGGGGAAGCTGTGTGAACTGAGGCTAAATGTAAAAGGGGAAAATGAAACAGAAGCCCACTGTCAGCGCTTGAGTACAGCCGGTGATAGTTGGGTGTCGTCTCACCCATGACCCTGGAAAGGCTGGGAGGTCGCAGGCAGGGGTCCGATTCTGGGGAAATACTGAGGGGAAACAGCAGAAAAGGAGCGGCAAGGACCCTAAATGTGTGAGAACACACCCCTCACTGGCACGGGGGACGGCAGGACCAGGGCGATCACCAGCGGCCCCTCAGGTTAAGAATGACAGTGACTTCACTGTGTTCCTCAGCTGCAGACGCTGTAGACGCAGGAGCAGCAGAACCGCAGCCCATCCACGGGAGAAGACCCTGCAGTAGCCGCAGCACTGTGTTTCACGCTGAAGTCTGTTTCCACCAGATTGGTTGGGTCACTGATAAGATCTAGAAGGGCAGGCACCTGTCACCCTAGCTACTCTGGAGGCTGAGGCAGGAGGATTGCATGAGCCTAGGAGTTCAGGGACAGCCTGGGCAACATAGCAAGACCTCACCTCAAAATAAACAAAGAAATACACCAGGTGTGGTGGTGTGCACCTATGATCCCAGCACTCGGGGAGGCTGAGGCAGGAGGATCACAAGTTCCATCCCAGCCTGGGCAACTTAGTGACTTAGTGAGAACCTGTCTCAAAAGAAAAGTAAAAAGAGGTGAGGATGTAACTGTGTGATAGTCTAATTCTCAGTACTGCAGTAATAATAATAATAATTATTATTATTAATTATTAAAATACAAAAAGCCCTCTCTTCCTTCATTCTGCCAGAGTTCATTGTAATCAGAGGTAGGAAAGCTTTTTTTTTTTTTTTTTTTAAAGCTAACACACAGACAAATAGGAACTTGGTTACGTTTTTAAAAACAAAAAAGCCCTTGTTGTCCCCACCTGGGGCTGAGCAGCCAGAGTGGCCCGGGTGGCCTGAGGCTGCCCCAGAAGAGCTGGGCAGTGATTCACAGCAGGAAACAAGTCCCCCGGCCCTCGTGGGGCCTTGAACAGAGCCCCACATGGGAAGTGTCTGTGTGCACAGCACGCAGAAGGTGGGGTCTTTGCTTTTCCTCAAGGGCCCTGGGTGTCCCTGAGCCCCGAGCTGGCCAGCGGCCTCTCTGGAGATGAACAGGGTCACTGGCACGGCCCTGGGCCATTGAGGCAAGTGGCTCCTCCTCATCCTGCAAGCAGACGTGTCTCAGGGAGACCACAGTCTGCCGGTTGGGTTGTGCAGGTGGTGAGCCGCCCTAGCCAGAGGTGGCAAGGACTCTGGTCAGGCCACAGAAGGGTCCGAAAAGCCCAGCGTTCCCAAGGAGGAAGCGGCCAGCATGGATACAGCGGAGAAGCTGTGGAGGCGGCGTCCCTTGGGGGTACCGTGTGCACCTGATCCAGCTCTCCCGGGGCCATGCTGCCCTGGGCACCGGGACTGGGGCTTCCTGCAGGTCCCCTCATCCTATCCAGGTGTGGCCCTGGAGTGAGTGGAGGGGTAGTCATTGTCCCTGCTGACGAAGTTCTTGGTGCAGCAGAGGAGGGTGCCAGAGCAGGCTCCCCGGTGACCCCATCTTCACCGGAACGGAGGCCCAGCTGAGAGGCCATGATAGGCTGTCCCCACCCCGTTTCAGCCACAGGTGAGATCCAGAGCCCCCCTCCTCCAGCTGCAGCCTGCAGAGGCCGTGCTGGGCAAGGCCCTGTGCTTCTCCATGGAAGGTTGAGTGACAGGCTCTGGGGACGGCTGGACAGTGGGAGCCACAGATGGCCACAGGTGGAGGTTCTGGCGTGGCGCTGAGGCTCCTGGAACCCTGGGGCCAGACACTGGCTCTGATGGGAGGAGCCACCTGCCCAGCTGCCGTGGGACCCGCCCCTTCCTCCTGGAGACCTACCCCCGTCTGTACTGCACTAACCGCTCCCTGAGCTGTCAAGATGCCTCCTGGGACCGCAGATCCCGCTGTAAACGCAACAGCCTTCTGGGCCCTCAGCAGGGCAGGGGCTCAAACAGCTTTGGCTCCATTAGCTTTGTCTGGCCTTAATCCCCCATTACAGGGTTGGTGCCCTGGGGTCTTCATGATCTGAACAAATCGTTTTCCCCCAGTTTTGATGGCATTGTGAGCCTGAACTTGGGTTCCTCTTGCCCTCTGGTCACCTACAGTGTTCAGGTCACTTCTGATTCCTGTACCCCAGGCTGAACACTGCCTGCCACCAGGACCCAGGGTGGGCATGTGTGGAGGGGAGGAGAGGAACAGGCAAATGTGTAACTGTATCAAAGTAGAGAAATGAAGCTGAGACTGTGTGAAAGCTATGCTCCTTTAGAGACCCTGCTATTTCCGTGGGGTCTTGAAGGATGCATAGGAGTTGGCCTGTGGCAGGACAGGCTGTGTTGTCCCCTATGACTGTGAATTCAGGCGAGCAGGAACTGTGAGTCCTGGCAGGGCGGTGCTGGTGCTGGCCTCCGCGTTCTTGGAGATCCTGGAGATTCAGGCCTGCATGGTGCGTGGTGAATGTGCTCATGGTCCCTTCCGCCACTGGGGTGAGGGAAGCAAAGACAGCCAGGCAGCAACTGAGTGTATGCTCACTGGCAGCACAGCACGTGTCATTAGGGGGTACCATACCCAGCTGGACAGAATTATTTACTTTTCCAGGAGAGCAAATAGTATGTCTTTTACACGGATTCATCTCAACAAATTGTAGTAAAAAAGAAATCGTGTTTCCTGTCCTAGATGGTCTCCCTGTCTGGGTCCCCGCTGTGCTGGGTAGGGGGCCAGGCCCTCTGGGGTGCAGGGGCAGAGGGCAGAGGAGACACCCAGGGTGGCCAGCTGCCTGGACCCTGCCCCCTGCAGACCTTATCAGGACCATGAGTCGCTTTGACCCACATTCCCGAGCTCGCACCTAGCCTGCAGGTGAACCAACATCCCTCAGCCCCTCCCGGGCCTCCCTGCCTCTGCATGACTTGGGGACGGTGGGAGACCACGGGGGAACCACCCTCTGGTTCAGCGGCTGAATTACAAAAGCACCTTCCTCCCTCTAACACCAGCCATGGGTCCCTGTGTCCGGCTGCACCGATTCCATCCACTTGCCCTCTGAGGAGGACTCACTGGGTTCCATAGACTTGGCATGAGCACCCTGGGCTGGACCCTGAGTCCAGCTGACCCCAGGACGTGGGGCCCACGGTTGAGGGGGGCTGGAGGGGCACAGGCCTCTGAGTATTTCCAGGGGATTAATCAGCTCTCTCCCCCATATCTCTGTCCCCCTCCCCGATTTCCTGCCTAGGGGGGCTTTCTCCGTGGTCCGCCGCTGCGTCAAGCTCTGTACTGGCCATGAATACGCTGCCAAGATCATCAACACCAAGAAGCTGTCGGCCAGAGGTAGGTGTGTGTGTCCCGAGGGCCGAGCCGGGCAGGGTGGTGGCTGGGGGACTCCGGGGACAGGCTATGGCCAGGGCACCTGAGGGACACGCCATCACTCCTGGCCAGGGTTTGTGGGACCCCGCCTGGCCTCCCCATCCCTGGTCTGCGACCTCTCTGTCCTCGAGCTGAGAGGACGGTGCTCTCGGTTCAGTGCTGCTGCCATCCTGCCGTCAGGGGGGAGCCCGTGACTTCCAGCCTCAGGTGGCCGTGGGGCAGCGCTCTGTGACTGATTGAGGTGTGCTGGACTTGAACCTGGGCCTTCACAATGAACTGCATCCTCAGCCCTTTTTTAAAACTTGTGATCCTCCTGAGTATCTTGGATTACAGGTGTGTGCCACTGGGCCAAGCTGGAATCTTCAGTGAGTCTTTTTTTTTTTGAGATGCTAGAGATTGAACCTGAATCATCCCCAGCTTTTTTTAATTTTCATTTTGAGACAAAGTCTTGCTAAGTCATTGAGTTGCCCAGGCTGGGGTCCAAGTTGCAATCCTCCTGCCTCAGCCTCCTAGAGCGCTGCATTCACAGGCCTGCAACACTGCACCTAGTTTAATGGAGTCCTCTAAGTAGGGGGTCAGCAAACACAACTGCCCTGAAAAGGGGCAGGTGGGGCCAGCAGGTACGGAAGGAAAGGTCCAGCACGGTGCTGGCCTGGGTGGCCTTGTGGAGCAGACTGGTCTCTGCCCCTTCGGGGGTGGTGTTCTGACCTGCAGGAACCACAGCAAACAGAAGCAGAAGGTGGTCTACAGCCTGCTCCCTGGGGCCCGGACACAGCTCTGAGGGTGGGGTGTGGGCCCAGGCCTCCTCATCCCCAAGGTGGGGTGTGGCTGAGTTCAGTGTGGCAGGGCAAGGCGTGGAGCAGGCAGCCACCTCAGTGAGATGGCAGTGCCAGCGTGTCTGTCACCTCCCTGCCCCCCAGGACGCAGCCAGCAGCTCTGATGAGCACCTGAACCCGCATCTAAGCAAACTGGGACGAGGGGCTGGGCCCCCCCATCCTGGCCGGGAGACAGGGTCCCTCAGGGGGGCTGAGAGCTGCCTGCTGTCTGCGGAGTCTGTAGGCCTTGGTCAGGCAGCCGGGCCCACCCTGCACAACACACTGAGCCATGTACTGGGCCGTGGGGGCAGTGGGTGTTTCCTCTTCTTGGGGCCTTCTTGGGACCCAGGCTGGAGTCCTCCCGCCCTGGCCTCTTCTGCCTCTCAGCACTGAGTGTGCCTGGGGCTGGTCAGGCCCCACACTGGGCTCCTGCTCACCAGAGTGTCGGGAGCAGGGACACAAGTTACCAACTGCTCTGGATGGGGTTGTGCTTATGGGTGTAGGTGTCTGTGTGTGGACAGACGTGTCTGTGTGTGCATGGCGAGGTGTCTGCATGGGCAAGCACATGTGGTGTTGACACAAATGTGCGCGTGTGTGAAGGTGTCTGGCACAAGTGTGTGCCTGTGCACGTGGAGGTGTCTGCATGAGTGTGTGGGCTGTGTGCATGACTGTGACTGGAGATGGCTGTGCACAAGGTTGTGTGCATGTGCAAGTGTCTGCATGGATATGTGGGAGTGCCAGTATGCACACAGTGTGTGGCTGAGGTGCGTGTGTGTCGGTCGGTGTGCATGAGTATGCTAGTGTGCAAGTGGAGGTGTCTGTGAGCAAGTGTGTGTATGGGGTGTCCATCAACAAGCATGTGCATGTGGAAGCATCAGTCAGTACATGTGTGTCTGTATGTGGTGTCTGTGTGCACAAGTGTGTGTGCAGAGGTGTCTGTTGCCTCGTGCGTGTGCATGAGTCCATCCATCCATGAGCACTCGAGTCCCTGAGCTTCCGGCCAAGCGTGGCGCTGTGGTGGTGCACTGGGCTCTGCAAGGCCCTGGGCTCCCGCTCAGGAGGATGCTTCTGGTGCCCAGGGAGCCCACTCCGCCTGAGAGTATCAGGGCTGGTGTCCTCTTGGTGCTGAGGCGCCTGTCACCCGGAGCAGCAGGCAGGGCTACAGGGCCTCTGCGTGCCCAGAACCGGGGGACTGTTGAGTCTAGGCTGCGGGATGGGCACAGCCGTGTGTGCTCCCCGCCCCTCTGCCTGGGGTGCTATGCAGGGGTGTGGGGGACCTAGGCCTCAGAGGGCAGATTGCGGTGGCTTGCTGCCGATTTGGGGCCAGGTGTGGAGTCCTGCCCCTGTGGCCACCACTGACCATCTAAGGGGTGGCCTTTTTGTCCCTGCACCCAACCCCATTCCCCCCTCCCCTCCTGAGTCAGAGGTGCCCCATGTCTGCTCCCCCAACCCAGGTGTGACTGCAGCCCCCTCCACCTCGGAGCCAGGTGACCCTTGTGCGGCACTGGCCTCAGCTTGGCCCTGCCAGGTACAGCTCCTTCTCTGCCAGGCCCAGGGGACCTGAAGGGACAGTGCTTGCTGGGCTAGAACCAGGCGTGTCCATGCTCTTTGGAGGTCGACACTGGTGGGGACGCAGTGGGACACATTCCCAGGTCTGGGGGAGTTTCCGTGGAGCTGCACTGCCGGCTCATCTGCCCTTATACTCCCTCCTGCTCCAGGGTGTGTCCCTGAGCAGCCGCCTCATCACACCTGTGGTCCTGATGTGGCCACCAGCTATAGACTGTGGCACAGCCTCAGACCTGGCACCAGAGACCCGAGCACCGGAGCCAGCGTCCCCTGGGGGCGAAGCCAGCACTGGCCTTGCCTTCACTGCAGGGACCCTGCCTCAGTCTCCCTCCTGTGCGACCAGGCTGCCTGTGGGAGTTGGTGGTGACAGAGCTGGATGGTCCTGGGGTCCCCAGGGGACGACGTGAGGTGCTCCCCTCCTGGTCTCCTTCAGCACAGAATCCTGCGTCGCTGTCTACCTCAGACCAGGGCTCTGTCCTCTGCCCTCTGATGCCAGGTCACCTCCCTTAGGGACCCCGGCTCCTCTGACCCCCAGATCCTGGGCTTTGGTGAGGGCAGGCGACCCTCACCTCTGGGACCAGTCAGTAGGCTCAAATTTGGACCAATCCCAGCCCTGAATTTAGGCAAATCAGCAGGCTTTAATATGGACCAATCATAGGACTGCAGGTGCTTTATAAGCAGCAACCCACCCCCACCCTTCCTGGTGGCCCTGCTGAGAGAGAGGCCTTGGTGAGCTGCTGAGCCCCCACATGGCAAAGTGAGCAAGAGCTGCAGGGTCCCTCTCCACATTCCACTGTCCTCCCTGGCCAGGTGACCACGGCACCTTGCTTCTCAGGACCCCAGTGCTCCTTCAGCTGATTTCCTCGAGGTCTCCCCACCCCCGCAGCCCCACGTCCAGCTGGCCCAAGTTCTGTGCTTCCTCCTCCTATAATAATGGGGTCGGGGCTTCTCTGTCAAGACCCTACAAGTGGGTGGGAGGATGGGGACCCAGACAGCAGCACAGGAGGGGATCCCCTACCCGTCTGCCCACCCCTGAGGGAGTCCAGTACAGACGTGGGGCTCTCCTCTTCCTCGGGCGTCCCCAGGACTGCAGGGTGTGCTGTGTCCCCACACTGGCTGCGTCCAGAGCCGCCCAGGGCCCAGGGGAGACGCATGGATCCTTGAAGCCTCGGCTGCAGGAAAGAGGTGGTGGTGACGGACACAGAAGGACCACAGCCTTCTCGTGGCTGCCGGTGCTCAGTCGGACCCGCTACGCCAAAGACAGTAGCAGTTGGATTTTAAAATTTAATACTTAATTAAATAGAGGATTGTGAGACATTCAAAGTCTGAATGTACTGAATAATTAGTGATTATTAAACTACCGCTAACAAAAGCAGTTGGAGGAACATTAATTGACTGGAGGTAGAAAGATCATTAGGCATGTGAGTCTTGTTAACCCCCACCCCCCACTGTCGCACGGAACGGCTTCTCCCAGGGCGGGTTTCAGGCCTGCATGGACAGCTGCCCTGTGCAGAGTGAGTGGGTATCAGGCCCCAGGCAGCAGGTGCTCAGGTGACCCCTGGTTAGTGACCACACGTGGGAGCCCCCAGGGATGGGATGAGCTGAGCCAGGGATGAGGGGCTTCAGGCCTCACCTGCACCCTCCCACTACGGGCCTTGCCCTGGGGTGATGGGAGGAGCTGGAGTGGGGAGCCTGTACTCCAAGAGGAAGAAGCTGGCAGGGGAGGCCTGCACTCAGCCCAAGCCTGCCTGTATTCAACCTTTGAGCTGCAGCCTGCGGAGCGCCTGCCAGTGGCCCTGCAGCCCAGATTGACCCCTACCCAGGGGAATAGAGTGCAGTGACAGGATCTGCAGAACTGGGTTAATAAGGACAGCCCTGCAGTGCTGGGCAGCTGAGCATGCGCAGGAAGCCATGCCTGTCCTCCCGGGGACCCTCCTGCCCCCTCCTGGCTGTGTCTCCTTCCTCCCCCTTCAGCCCCCATGGCTGGCAGGCTAAGGGAACTGTCAGGAAGCGCAGGATGGGGTACCCCCTCTGAGACCCGACCATCCTAAACCTGTAACTGTGGTTCTGGCGCCAGGACTGGGGTTTATGGGGCGGCCTAAGGCACTCTGCTGCCACTGCTGAGGGAGTTAGAGGGGAGGTGGGTCCCAGGGGCACCCCGAGACCATCCTAGGGTGAAGCCTGGCATCAAGAGGAAACCAGGCAGGGGCTGCCGGGCTTAGCAGCTTGGTTCAGTGTCAGATAAACATGAAAAACATGGAGTATGAGTGTGTTCCATATTGGGACACATGGGTGTGCTTATACTAAAACATTACTTTTAAACTTTACCATCTGAAGTTCTGATTTGCCTGGGTGCCCCATGTTTTATGTGGCAGGAGGCAATGAGGTGGTGGAGAGGATGGTTTTGTTTTGTTTCTTTTTTTGGTACCGGGGATTGAACTCCGGTCCTTGTGCTTGCAAGGCAGGCGGCGGAACCACTGAGCTAAATCCCGGGCCCTAGGATGTGTTTTTATAATAGGTTCGTAACTCAACCGGTGACATCAAAGCTTTCTGGAAAGAGGCCCCGGAGGAGAGTAGATGTCG